TCATACCCCTGTCACTTCTCCCAATGCAAAACTCTTCTATTGATCACGGGTGACTTGAAATGGTGTGACCAGGAGATTACACGCAAGCACACATACACACACACGCGCACTCACGCACACACACTGTACACAAAGAAAGCCAGTGGAAACGGTTGCCATGACGACCCAGCCCAGAGGATAAATGTTTCTTTTCTTTTTCCACCGCCCACCAGCCGCCTCCACGCTCCCGCTGTACGGCTGCCTGGGGAAGAAGCAGCTTTCTAATCGCAGATGTATTAGAATTCTCTGCTCTTCCAATTAGGCGACTTTTATAAGAGATGCTTGTTTTAACCTCACCAGACAAATGGACACAGGAAGGTGATTAGCCTCCCTGTCATTAAGATGTGGAGCCAGACCTGACTCAAGTACAATTAAAAAGACATTGAGGGCTGCAGGCTGCTAATGATTTGATGGACACAACTTCTGAAGTTGTAGAGATATAGAGCAGGTCACGAAATAAACAAATGTCCTTTAGAGCAGGAAGATGGGTGTAATTGAGAGTATTTCCACAGTATTCTTTTTTTAAGTAAAAAAGGTTTACTGAAAGAATACATTAATGAACCAATGAATTTCTCATTAATTAGTTCATTCATGAGAAGTATGTAGTATATGGAAGAAGTTGAGGAGAAAGAATTATAGGGTTAGTGAGTGCTCCAGACCTCCTCACACGACCTAGAGAAGAGATCAACTACATGCTTACTTTCGGATTCAGAACACATTCTATTTTCAATGATAATGCTTTTATAAAACAGAGACTGAGGCCCCACATGATGGACAGAGTAGAGGTACTTTAAATCATGGTTAAGAGCAAAATTACTTCTGCATGGAGCTCAGGTCCTCCTCATCTCATCTCCGCTGCTCTGTGGAGCGTTAGATGTGGGAGGGGCAGCCTGGATATGCCTGTTCCCATCGGTGCCTTCACAGAGGGGCATCACAACACTTCATCTCCTGTCATGAAGTCAGCTTTATCAATGACCTCATTTGCAGTGGTTTTGCACTGTTTTTTGGTCGAACAGCTTGTAGTGATTTCATAACACTTTAAAGCAACTATGGTTAAAGTTCTAACTTCATTCTCACATATGCAGAAGCCTGTACTTTTCCACTACTTGTTTTGGTTATCTCAAGGCCAAGCTACAAGCACACTGTCGCAGCTGCTGATTGGGGGTCTCTGTTTCTCCTGAGTATATTATCACTTGCTGTCTGTAAAATCCTTTGTTCGTGCGTCTACCATCAACAATAAAACATGTCTTCTGTCTGAATTAAAGACACAATCCCAGACTTTGGCTGATTCCTAACAAGCTTTTAGAAAAGGTTCATCAAGATTAAAGCTGTGGTAACTGTGAAAGGGCTGTAAATTCACATTCAGGTCATGATAACACCATTCATATCAGCCTATACCTGTATGAACTGATATACATGAAGAGACTGGAATTACCAATGTTCACCAGTATTTATTTGGCTTTATTTAATCAGGAAAGTCTCAAAGATGTAAAAATATCTTTATCATGAGTATCCTGGCCCAGAGCGAGGGGAGCTATTGCTCCTTTTTTGTGGTACAATACAGAGAGTAGGATTATCTCCAGTGCACAGGGCCAGGCAGTCTCTCTAAACAGAGAGGTGTGACATTCATTATGCCTGAGCAGAAGGAGCGGCTGGGGCTCAGGACTCATCCATGGCCAAGAGTACTTCAGAGTCCACACACTAATGAGAGTGGGCTTATTCAATCTTTAAGACTTTACATGCATTTTACTCACATCCTGCAAATGTGCTGGTGATGTTTGGATTTCACCCACATGAATTTGAAGAGTTCATATTCTCCCCATTCATTAATTAATAAATCTGTTCTGAAGCAGACCTGCAGTTGTGTCCCACACGTCTCTCTTTTGCGCTGTTCTTCCACTCGTTCAAAGAGTGAAGCTGTGAACATTAGCAAAGCAATTGTGGGTTTCATTTTTGTTGATATTCCTGTGAACACAAAGCAAATAAGTCAATGAGCCAATGAAAACGTCGACCAATTAAGTTGTAATTAATTTTCCTATCTACTATTGGCAAATCCAAGTTGTTGTCCAAGTCTTTTGAGTCGGACCATGTTGAACAACCTTCTTGAAAAGTAGTTAATATTATTTTATGGATTTGTTGTAGTGATATGATGTATGACGAGACAACTAATGATACCAAGGTCAAGTTTTGCGACATTCTCCAAAAGCCTTGAGTAAAAGCACACAAGTAAAAATGACACCACAGCAAGAGATCAGCCACTTTTATTTAGAAATATTCCCAAAAAAATAAACAAGATAGCACACATTCCATATATAAAATGTCAGTGGAAATAGCCTCGATATGTCATGAGACCTTAATACTTAATTAAGTTGGTGCCCATTTTACATTGGTAAAGAAAACATGTATGAATCAAAAGTGCTCCTCAATAATAATACTAAAGATTCATTTAAAAATATGTCTTTGTTGAAATTAGGATATTGTTCTTCAACACAGTTAAAGGAGTATTTATCATTTCAGCTTTTTCCTTTAAATGCATGTATCATATAGTCTAGTGTAGTATTTCCAATTCTCAAACGGCTAATCTCACAACATTAAATGAGCTTCAATGATGAACGCAAGTATTTTCTGTAACATGCAACTGGTGCTACCTTATTGTTGATGCAAACAAATTCCATGGGAAATAGGATGAAACAAATTAGGCTATTTTTTGCCACCAACTGTACAGCTAAATACAAAAGATACGCAAGTCTCAGCGCTTACATTCACTGAGAAAGACAGTGACTGATTATATAAAGACTATATGCTCTGTCATTTGGCACTGCTGACTGTTTTGGCATCAGTAACCGCCTCGTAAAACCAAGAGGACGCCTTTTCGGATGTTACGCATTGACTGTGAGACTGGACTGAGCATTTGGATTTACTGGAAGAAGACGATTTCAAATGCTCCGGCAATTTATCAGGAGATTACCAAATGTAGGAATGGAAGGCACCTGATTGGACAGTTATCATTGGTACTATCTTTTAGATTTTTGACAATTGAAGCCAAGAATTTTGAGTGTGACACAAGTTAGATTTTTAAAGTTAGATATTAAAGAATGGATTCAGTGCTCTGTCCATTTCAACATACAGTCTAGAATATGTTACCAATCTGAGATGTTTTCTCATAGACCCTTTTACAAACCCATCTCATACAAATGTTCAGGAACACTAGATTGGAGGCGACTGGAATCAAAGTGAAGCAAGCATACATGTTTTCAAGTTATGTGGATAATATGGTTAGATTATTGTATCAAATTAATTCAACTTGTCATTTTTCTTAGCCCAAAGCACTGTATTTTGACTCATATAGTACTTATGTAAAAGAACACAAGGGCTTAAATCCAGTCTGTAGTCTTAATGCTGGGGGACAGCATTTTTAAACCACGAGAAATGGAACTATGAAACAAAATCCATATAACAAGTTCTTCACTCTCACAACAGTATAGTTATATCACTAGTTTTGACATACATGTATGTTTGATCGCTGTCACATCTTAAGTGAAAAAAGGACCACCCTCACTCAGCCAATAAGCTCAAAGTTGTAGCTACATGACTCTTTCTGTTGGAACATACAACATGTGTGAATAAAAATAAGGAACCCCAGTTTTAACAAAACAATTGCAATGATCTGCATTTAGAAAAACCTTTGGGAAAAAGGTCTGATTAATGCAATGCTTTATCAGATCAAATAAATGATAAATCAGAAACAACATGTCAAGTTAAATACCTTTCAATCATACAGTTGTCTGGTTAGAATTTAAATAATACAATTTGGAAACACCATGATTAATATTGCTGGCCCCATTGCATGATTGTAGCCAATCTGAAAAATCTAAGATTGGCCCATTATGTTTATGAGGCTTTTTTGAAACTTGAAAATATTCCCAGAATGGAAAAATATCGACATTTCTAGACTCATGAATGATTCATTTTTTATTTGTTTAGGTTTACACAAAGGTAGGCTAAATGTGGTTTCATTATTGATCAAACATGCTTATTTGTAATTGTTTCTCGTTACCTCCATTCTGGTTTTCTAATGTTTTCCGTTTTTTAAAAACTGGTCTTGGCATGTAAACAGATTCCTTTCGAGCAACAAACTCTGGCTATTTGAGAAGAAATACAAACAGCAAAACTACAGAAGCCAACAGAGAGACAGAAGATAAAGCAAAAGAAGGAACCGCTGCACCAAAAGTCATTGACACAGTCCGTATTCACACTAAATGTTAAACAAGAAAATATACAGGAACGTTTAGAATAGGAATTAATTACATGATTCTAAACCTCGCATTATTTCTGGCTTTAAAAATGTGAATAGAAGCTGTTTAGTGTTTTTTCTTTCATTACACACAGTATATATTCAACCAGTATGTAAGCTAGTATTTAAAAGCAATTTTGTGAAAATACATAAAAATATTTTTTCAATAAACATTTTTCTGATATTTTCTTAGAAAAGACATTTCACATCTTTATGCAGATGATATCAAGTGTGCTTGAAAGTCCTGTTGGCGGTGGTGGCTACAGAAACAGTGTTCTGAACAGACCTGAATAGGCGTACACACAAATGCACACACGGACCATGGAATCAGCCACAAATAACACATCTCCAGAGCTGCCAATCAAACCCTGGTCCTGCCTCCTCACAGTCTAAACACAGAGGAAGGTGTGGTGTCACCAGTAGCCTCCTCCTGTTTATCGTCCAAAACTGAATTACTTCGAATGAGCTGCCGACTTTTTGAAGAGCGCAACAAAATCATCCTGTGATCCGTTACATGAAGCCTCCATCGTGTAGCGCTTTTTTTTTTTCACCAAGCGGACAGAAAAAGCGCCAGAGCGGACACAGTTAGGGAGAAGGTCGAAGAAGAACATATGATAGAATCCCGCTCTGTGAAACCATTATAAGGCACTCAGGAGGTTTTCCGAGATCAGGACAGGTCGGTGAGGCTGACGTTTAGTGCCATGTCAGGCCTGGCGTACGGGACTGAGTGCACAGCTTTGGGGAACTCTGGGGTCATTACGCGGCCGTTCTCCCCTGTGCTCCCAGTCACGGAGAGGCGGGCCTTGTTCCGCATGGCATCTCCAAAGGTCATCTAGGAGAAAGGACATTGTAACGGCTAAAGCCAAGGTGCAACTGGACACCTACAAAACACGCATAACAAGTATGTTTACATGCAGGCGCAGAAGAAGTAAAGTTCAAATCTGGCTTCACTCTCATTTTGGAAGCCTGATTTTGCCCTTGGTTTGCAATTTTTTTTATGTTAGACTGTCAGAAATTACTTAGAAATTAGAGCAAAATGGAAGTGTGTGGAACTTGCAATTCTTTTTCCAATTGTTGATTAAGTTATCCGAAAGGAGTCCCTCGATTCCAATGAAATCTTTACCTCTAGGAATTATGTTGCTGATCTAGTTGAGCTTTCATCTCTCCAAATCAGAAATTTGTTTGTCTAATTCCAATGTATTAAAAAGTGTGTCATTCATGAAGTATACCTGGTTTTGTTGGTACAATAGATTAAAGATTGCTGTTATGATTGTAGCACTCAAACATAATGTCGGGAAAAAATAAGAAGATAGACCTTCCAATTGCTACATAAATGTTGCAGATTAGTGATCATGGAAGTGCTCTTAGCATGCTCCAAAGTTATATTGCAATAGCTCTCTAGCCTGAGCTTAGAACTGACCCAATTTAGCTAAATCATGCATTTAAGTGAGACCCATGCTGGAACATTTGAACAGCTCTTCTTAAAATATTGGTTTTAAAATAATGTGTCTGCGGCTTCTTTAGATATTTGGAGAATACGGTCGGCCACATGAATGCAGCACACATTTTGAGTGTGGAAGAATTCTAGGTACACGAACAGGACTTAATTAAGCTATAAGCAAAGTGCGACTAAGCTCTGAATGTAAACATACCGAATGTGAGGACAGCAACACATGTTCCAAAAGGTGGGAATGCACATGAGAACTTAAATATGATTATAATGAGTTAGTACAATGTGCCAATGATCATGTTCAGGTTACGCATGGTCATTGCAAGCGATATAGTGGAGATGGAAGACAGAGCATGGCCTTCAACATTCATACATGAAAATGTCTAAAATTGCAAGGAAACTTAAATGGACAATCACATTATAAGCATTAAAAAGGAGATAACGCTTTCTCTCATTAAATTATAAGTCACCAATACATACGGAACTTTGGTCAACCTCTTCATTCACTAACACTGAAGGATGGAACGGATGAAGCCAAAAAGCGTGCATTTTGGGGGAATTTATATGAAAGCCACGTTCCCTACCCCCTAAATTTTTACACTTTCGATTCCATATACGTTGTAACCTTCCTTATAAGTTGCAAAATTCTGAGAATTCTGCGAGGAAGTTGGGTTAATATTCTGTGCATTCTTTGCCACCTTCATTCGTTTGGCTTCAGCTCTGGACTTGTAACAGAACTCAATCAAAGCCACCAGCATAGCCAAACCCAGTCCGCCAACCAGGATGTAGAAGACCCCAGCCACGTTGCTCAGGCTGAGGGCACTTGTCTTCTCCTGTGGAGTGCACACGAGATCGTGGTTAGTGCAGAGTATAAACCACATGGACAAATATTTAAATATGTACAAAAAACAAGAACAGAAAATGCACAAGTACTGCACCACTACAACTACAACGTTGAGACAGCCATTAGTCTAACACCATAAAAAAGAACGAGACAACAACAAGTGTGTGTCTGAGGGCTAATGTTAGTGTTAGTGCTTCTATGAAGGGCATCCGCACATGTGCAGGACATACAGTATGTGTAGCTTGTTATTGTGTAGAATTTGCAGGAAAAGGACCATTTACATGGGTAGCCCATCACAGGCTCAGCTGTTACAAAGACCTTTACTTTCACACAAAGACGAGAGGGATGACAGCTTTCTGTGGAAACTGCCTGTCTGCACCCAGGAGAGGGCTATTCACACCCCTAAAGCATTGTCACATGTCCCTTTGTTGATATATTTCACCAATATAGATCTCATAAACTCTCCAGAGCCCATGCTAGACAAATAACATCTTCTGAAGCACCTGGTGACGTACACCTGGTGAAACGTCTTATGCTTAATCAACAGTTGAAGGATAGATCCCGTCATGTTTCAGCTCAGGAATATTTCTAGAAGTGAGTCTTTGAACACAATGCATCCATGCACAAATGCAGCTGACAGTTGCATCATGCATAGAGGAAGACTTTGAAGAAACACTTTTAAACATGGCTTCTTATTTACATGACACAGCTGTAATCTGCATTTGTACAGTGTCAAAGATCATGACTCGTAGAATTATGCCAGGGAGGAGTTCATTACTATTTTTGCAACATTTAGTTGTCTAGTGAGTGGCCCTCACTCACTAGTATTTTGATCAAAGTGAGTTTGATCCTGAATATACTGTTGTTGTGTCCCCTACAGTCTTATCTCCCACTGCACAATTCAAAGAAATGTGTGAGGACATTGCAGTCACATGACTATACCACTAGTGGGTGTGAATAGCTTACAAGACCAAATCAAGAAGGTTATGTTTTCACCTGGGCACATACGCCCTTGGGTTTTTGCACATACAGTGTTGTCTTTTGTCTTACATTGTCCATGTATTCATTTGAACAGGCCAAAATGGATACATTGGGCTCTACCTGTTTGGAATGATGCACAGTTTACTATCGGCTTGTGCGAGAGCAAGAGTAGAACAGTGACAGCCACCACAGGAATGAACAGAACATAGGTGGTTGAGGAAAAGAAACAAGTGCACACGGAGGAAAGAGAATCACTCGGGAGCATTTACGGTGCCCCACATTGGGAGTACTGGTGGGGTTTAAGAAACACTGCATCGGGAGAACTGGTGTGATTTAAGGTGGTAAGGTGGATTCTTGCTCAGTGAAAATCAACTAGGATTGACAGAAACAAAGGACACAACAACAGTACAGAGACAGTGATACAGATACAACAGACATTGGACACCCTTTATAGATGGTCCAGAGTTGGCCAATCACTGTCTGAGTTTGCAGCATGTAAAGCCAATTCTGCAAATCGAATTATGCTGAGCTTTTTTGTAGGAAAAAAGCTTTGAAATAATGAGCTGCAAAAGATTTGGATACAAGAGTGCACGTATCAAGAATGACAATGCATGCATTACTGGATTATCATTAGTAGGTCTGCAGGCATTAGTATTACATCTAACCAAGGCATCTCATGCTTTATTTGTGCATTGGCTTGAAATGATTTATCATTACTTTACATTGGTCATTCCCACTAATAATCATGAGTGTGTTTGTATCACATAGAGATCCTGCAGCGACTGACCTTACTTCCAGAGTCCTTGGATCCACATTCACCCTTATCGTACCACCATTTGTTTTTCAGCTTGTCTAAGGTGCCTTGCTCACTGAGTTTCAATACTGCAAGGTTTACTGGCGTTCTTCACGTGGGAAATAACATAAATAACATTATCAATGTTATTTTATGTTATTATTACATTTACACTGATTCTTAAACTTTTATCTCTCTTTGATTCTCTTTTCTTACATTTCTTTCTCTTCTTACTTTACGGGCGGCGATAGTCGTTGATGCGCCATTTGGCCTAAGCAAACACGAGTTTTGCAGAGCCAAATGTGTATTAACGTATCGCCTGAAGTAAGCAGCAAGAGCAGCAGGTGACAGGCCAATGGGAGGAGTCTGCTGAGACTCATGCAAGACTTTGGGGCTTCACCAGAGATGGATTCTGGCCTGATTAATGTCGCCATGTGCTGATTCAGCAGGTGTGTGTGGCTGTCGGGGTCAATCGGCTACTGAGCTGGGTTGCTGCTTACTTTTACGAGTTGGTAATGAGTTACCATCACTTTTCTCACTGGGGCTGACCTTGGAATCACCTCCCCCGCTGCCGCACTCTCCTTTGTCGTACCACCATTTGTTTTTCAATTTGTCCAACAGGCCTTGCTCATTCAGTTTTAGTACTGCGAGGTTAACCGCATTTCTTGAAACGATAAAACATACTTGTAAGACAGGGTGAGCCACAATTTGTCAAGCACTCGCTCAATTTGGTGAGATTAACCACATCAAAGTAGACTATGTCCCCCTTTGTAGAGTAGGTGAAAGTGACATTTCCAATTAGGGATTTCCAAAGGTGGTAGAGCTTTGATCATGGAGGACAGAGTGCTAGGGCCATAGGGAGACTAGTGGCTACAGCGTACTCACATCCATAACATACATAAAACAGTGTCTGGCAAGTGACTCCACTAAAAGAGAGACAGTAAAACAGCAGTAATGGAGAGAAATGGTTAGACCATATGAGAAAATACAAACGCATGCAACATTTCTACAAGCTAACCCAACTACCTAGCATCTTGAAAAAAGGCTGTCTGCAAACTAACAAAGCACTGGCTAACAACATCATATTATCAAAATATATTGAAACCCAAGCAGTGCCACAATCAATGCATAATGCATAATGCATAATTTGGTTTTTGGCCAATGTTTCCATAAAGGGAAAAAGTAGAATTTGGGGCAATAAATAAAAAGTGTGTATTGCGAGGGTTTAGCAGAATCAAATGCACTGGATATAGACCCTTTTGCAGGTAGACGTTCTCTATTAAGTTAATTTAGTACGATCATATAACATAAATAATTATAGTAAGATATAAAAATAGTGAAGCTTAAAACTAATTCAACAAATATTACATTGATCAAATACAAAAAAAGCCTTGGCTATTACAATGACTCTATGCTGCTACTGCAAAGGGGTCTATATCCTGTCAATTGTGAATAAACATTATTGCTGTATTGGAAAAAGCATGAGCAAGCATATTAAAACATGTTAAAAAAGACATATATCTCGGACAGCGTGCGACAAAAGAGCAGCCTAAATTTGGTCTAACCGTGAGGAACATTAATCATTCGTATTTTAATATTTTATTATGTTGAGAGACGAATTACTGGGTTTAGATTCTACCACAAAATGATCTAATAAATGTGTGTTAATCTAAGTGCGATGTTGTGCGTAAGCCTGGTTCAGACTAGGACTGAATTAACTGAAAGCGGATTCATGATACAACTAACCCAGAATTAATGTAAGATATACTGGGGCAGTGGGCCGGATTAGTGAAATCTGACATAAATCTCTCTAAATGAGCCTAGAATCAAATGAGAAATAAAAAATATGGGGTTAACTGTATAAATGTGTTGCAATTTATCGACTTAAATAAATTGCAAGGCTCATGGTGGGGATTGTTTTTTTTTGTTTTTTTTGCGTTACCTTAGCTCCGCATACAGACCAGAGACACATAAGCAAAGCTACATCAGGGTAGGTGGGATACTATAACAACATTGGACACATTGTTATATTATTCCACCCACCTTAATGAGGATCCTTTGGGCGTGGCGATTCCGTAGCCTTTGGAGTCCAGGTTACCGCCCACTTTCATGGTGTCGCAGGGCTTCCTCTGCTCGATGTACTCGTTCATGGTAGACTCCAGCAGGTATGCGTACTTGCCCTTGGACTTGCGAACGCGCTGCACGCCCTCCGCCGTGGTCTTCACAAACACAGAGGGCTCGGCGCTTTTCATGTACGTCCACATTTTGTCAAATAGGGCAATTTTAGAGCGCTGTTAGAAGGAGAGCGTGGAAACAAAGGAATTACTTTTGTAAATAACATATATAGGATCAGAAGCATGCAAGTTGGAAAGAGCTCATTTGACTGGAGATAATACTTGAAAAAACAGCTCTGAACATGATTTGTCGTAGTGTAAAAAAATAAAAAATAAAGAGGGGGCTGTTTTTCCCATAAATGAATTGATATAACCGTGAATGGAGCTGGAAAAAACTATTTGCTCTGGAAAACCAGTACCACAATGTTGGGAAGTGGTTAAAAACGAATTAATTTACTAATCATTAAAAATGTAATATATTCCAGTCAAGATCACTTAAATAACAACCTGGGGTCTGTAGATATTGACTGGTTACATACCCTAAAGAACTCTTTGGTGGATCCGGAGTCTAGGGTCCCGTAAGAAATCTCAGTCTGCTTGGCCAGGTCTTCAGCACTCTCTATAGGGGACACCATCCTCTCCACAGTGAGAAAAGCTGCCAGGTTAGCCGTATACGAAGAGATGATGATGAGAGTGAAGAACCACCAAACACCTCCCACGATGCGGCCAGACAAAGACCTGGACGAACATGACAGGATGACATGAGGTGTCTTGCCTAAGGACCCTTTTCTCTTTTGTTCAAAAGTACATTAAATGATGTGTGACATTTTCACTGAAAGCGATTGGTAAGCAGGCAGGCACGAGGGCGAGAAGAAACATTTCAACAAAAAAGTCAGCCAGATCGCCTTAACCTCCACAATAACACAAGTTTGTGGTGTTTTGTGTAGAAATAAACAGAGGAGATTAATGTTATGTGTGAACTATACACACCTATATTTATATTAGTTTTAATTATTCAAACTATTGTAGTCATTGTTGTTGAAGGTTTCATCAACAACAACGACGAAGGTTTCATATGAAAGAAATTGCCTGAAAGGATTACTATTAAATCAAATATTTGTATGATGTCTGGACCCTAATCTATTGAACTGATCAAGTATGTGGACCTCTTTCCAATTTAATTGGAGACCCCTTGTGTACAGGATGGCACAAGATCTTACACCTAAAAATAAATACAACGTAATAGAAGACTTGGTTCTAACAATGCAATGTCCAACAGCTTCAGCAAGAGCTGCAACCCTCCTCCTACCCGTCATCTTTTTATCAGTAGGACGTTTACCTTATATCATTGACTCATCACTTCCTTCCACCACCAGGTTTTAGACCTAGGGGGTGCTTCATTTTCATATGTCTATTTAAATTACCATAGATCTGTTTCAGGTGTCATCACATGATTCAGCAAAGCTTAGGTGAATGTTGAACACTTATTGACCTATTTATCATGTCACCTTTTATGCAGCGTTCCATAGTAGCGACAGAAATATACATATTTTTATATCTGATTTGCTTTCATAACTTCTGTAAAATCTACGTCACTGGGAATTAGTGAACAAAATCCTACTATTGTTGTTACAAAGGATCATAGCACACGTGTATAAAGGTAGTGTGTTCCTGTGGCCGTATGTACTGTATATATAGAATATTCAGGGTGACTGATGGGACATGACAGGCTCTATATCACAACAGCTCCACAGGACACAGTCACATGAACCCAGAGGCCTGATTGCTCACATGCTGCACGGAGGTAAGAACAGAGCAGTGTGCAAGAAGACCACCACAATACAAACAAAAAAGCTATTTCAGAGATTGTGGTAACCAAATCACAAAGACTGCATTTACTGTATGTAAGGGATCTTTGTAATATATATACACAAAGTGAAAGCCCCCAACACTTCTGTATAAATGCTTCTTTATACAGCTTCTTTGTTCTGCGGCCGCTGCATGGCCCAGGTCCGCGTTCTGAAGCTTAGGTCCTGGATCTATAGCCCGTCTGTGGATAAAATGGATTGTGGATCTGTGTTAGTGGATCCCTCTCTCAAAATGAGGATCTCCTCAAGGTTTCTCACTTTTTTCTCACTGGGTTTTTCCTTGCCGATGCAAGGGGGTCTGTTGGACAGTTAGTGCCTAACAAGAAGGACTGTGGTGATGATCCAGGACACTTTAACATTCTATAACATGTATGGACATTTATCAACATGTGTTCTATATTCTTTTTGTGTCTTAACTGTTGATTCTCTGATCTGTGTTGACGATTTCAATGATTTTGTTAAGTCCTCTGAGGTGACTACTGTTGTGATTTAGGGCTATGCGAGAATAAATTGTTTTGTATTGTATTGTATTTCTTTATCAAACTTGTGATCATTTGGTACTACAAATCCTTACAATCCACACATTTACTTACTTAATAGACAATACTTATACAGTAGGTCCCATTTCGTTTTGTCGCCTTTCACGCGTGAATCACACGAGACTCACGTGTGATTCACGCGTCTTTTATTTTCCTTCCCCCAGTGACGCTGCAATGACCAAAACAACCACCAGGTGGCACTTGTGAGCAGGGTTACATTGGCGTCTCATCGCTCTTCTCTCTTCACCGGACAACTATCTGTGGCTTTAAGCCTAGCGTACTGTACATCGGACTGATTATATCCGTCGCCTATGAGTTTCTGCCCCGCGCACATCGACAATCTGGTTAAAACGGGCAACTCCTTGTAGCAGGCCAGTCTCTGGAATAACCCGCAGACATTAAAACTACTGCATATAACGTAAACTTTTGCATCACGTTGGTGATCTTTCCAAAAAGAGAGAATATCGTTTTGGAAAGAGAAACTATTGGTAATATAACGCTGAACGTTATCTGACTCAAACAGCTCCGCTGGTGTCTCTTCCCACTCAGAAAAAAAGCAGACGCCTTTTCTCTGGCATCTCTAACATTTATAATAAATACATAAATATAACAATCATAATGAAGATGCTTTCAAATAATTTAGCTGTAATTCATTTATTTTAACTCCACACGGCTCCTCCCCTGCCAAACTTCTCTCGCTGCTCTCTCCTCCGCAAACCACTAAATGAGGAAAAGGGCATATTCACTCAATCTATTTTGAATGTTACACATACAAGTCTAGTCTAAGCACGTGTAACACCAGTAGCCCGTATATTTACCACAGACTGTAAGTATTAAAGTAATGAGGCCCCTGCTTTAGGCCTCTGCTGTGAGGCCCTACCTACCAGTAGCGGCGCCAGGTTTGCAATTTTGGGTAGGCCTGCAGATTAGTAAGTAGGCCAAATTCGCTTGTAACTACAAAGGCTAGCTGGAATTGGGGTTTCAAAGAATATGGCTCAAACGCACACACGCACGCACACGCACTCACGCGCGCACATACACACAAGCTCATTTATGAAACTTGCGTAGAAAAAGGTGTACATTTTGGGTGTATATTCCATTTACGCAAAATCCACTGTCGGATTTATGAACATGTGAGATCCGCCCAGATCTGAGCGTACGCAGCTGCGGGTGTTGATAAATCGACTGAATACGAAAATATTTATGAAAGTCACACCTAGAATTATGCAGCAATCGCGTGTTTCACGCCCCGTCTTCGTGACAGGTCAGCAGGAAGCCGGCCTAAAAGACTGTTTGGAAGCCTCAAAAGGGACGTTTGTTTGTTCATGTTTATGTAAAAATATATATACTCTATATATTCAGCTGCGTTTTGAACAAATTTGCTAAAATGTTTTGATACATTAGAAAAATCTCTCTTGAATTGTAGATGTGAATAAATATAGATTGATTGAATGAATGAATAATTCATATATATTATGCAGCGGTGGCTCTCATGAATGAAGCGTCTGCAGCGTCTTGGACGCAGCCTGGCTCGGGGTAGAAGTGCGCATTGAAGCGCTGTACACTTCAGAGAGCGTTTGCGGTCCAGATTTCACAAAGAAACTCTGGAGCCAAAACTTCTGCACATGTGGCGCGACCTCTCACGGCACTCGCTGCGCACTCTGGACAGGGCAGTGAGACATTTGTGAGTGAGCAATACCATCGATGCGTTATTGGGGTGTGTGTCTGTGTGAGGGTTACACAAATCTAATGAAATAACACATTGCTTTACCAGATGTGAATGAGGAATACAATTAGCCGTGCGTAATTACGCAGCGCAGAGCCTGCCACAGCAATAGATGGGTCACACATCCCTGTTGCGTAAAGTGTATTTATATAGAGCCTTTGACTGTCCAGGATCACAAAGCGCTTCACATTTTAAAAACATACAGATCAAAATAATACACACACAAGTCAGATTTAATAGAAGGTTCTCATCATGAGCTGTGATGTGTCTTTCAATCACACGTTTCAGCTTCAGTGTCCAGATTCAGCAATCCAATTCAGTCCAAATTATGTCCAAATTCAGAAATCCAGATTGTTCCAAATTATGTCCAAATTGTGTAATCCAATTTTTCCAAATGATGTCCATGCAAAAGAGGACGATGGTGTTGTCCATGTCTCAGCAGCTCACAGCAGGCCTGACTGGAATCAGGGGCTGTGCAGATTGTCCAAGTGTGCTGGTCCAGATGCATGGTTTCTCTTGAGGTTTCTCAGTTTTGGTTTAAAAAAAAAAACACTTTTTGTGTAAAAAAAAAAAGTCTTCTGTTCTCTAGATGTTACAGACAAGGCCCGCATTCTTCCACCACCTGAAGAAGGTGACATGTCTGGGATCGCGTCTTAAATTCAGACAGAAGACATGTTTTATTGTCGATGGTAGACACAGCACGAACACGAACACAGATACAATAGAATGCAAGTGTATTATACAGAGCGGAGGCATGGAGACCTCCAATCAGCAGCTTCCACAGTGTGCTTGTAGCTTGGCCTTCAGATAGACACAACAAGGGAAAAGTACTGGCTTCTGCACATTGATAGAATGATGAGTTTAACTTTAACAAAAGTTGCTTAAAAGTGTTATGAAATCTCACAATTAACACTAGCAAACCCAAGCGAAATTGGCCCCTGTTTTGAAAAGAAGGATAGGTTGGCTGCTAACATTTGCATGTATTGATTTGCAAATTTAGGTAATGACTTATAACAGCAGGGGCCTGGGGTGGGCTTTGTTTATTCGTGCGGGGGAGGGAGAGCTGCAAGAGAGTACTACTATAGTCCACAGATACACATCTGTGCTGTCTCTACCATCGACAATAAAACATGTCTTCTGTCTGAATTTAAGACGCGATCCCAGACTTTGTCATCTTCTTCAGAGCAAATGCAGTAAATATGTTAAAGACATACATCGATACATACATGCATACACACACACACACAGTACATATAAATGTGTATTTTACTCTCACTAAATACAGTCGTGTGTAACTTTACTGTAGTATTCAGCTGTACAGTGTTTAGTGCTCACCAAGATCTGATTTTTTGCTTTGAAAAAAGCAGAGAGAGTAAAGTGTCACAATGAAAACATGACTAAGTCATTTGACTGTTGTTCATACTCAATGTTGTCAGGACTTATAATTTTGACGACACAGACAATTTCATTGAAATGAAGACTTGCTTTTGAGGAATAAACTTTTCATTTTGAGAAGGTGATGCACTTTTGCAAGTTATCCACCAGGTTTTGCAGTTTGAACTAATTGTTCTGAAAAATGCACCAACAGTTGTGATGTTGTGAGATTTCATAACACTTTGAAGCAACTTTTGTTAAAGTTAAACTCATCATTCTATCAATGTGCAGAAGCCAGTACTTTTCCCTTGTTTTGTCTATCTGAAGGCCAAGCTACAAGCACACCGTGGAAGCTGCTGATTGGAGGTCTCCATGCCTCCGCTCTGTATAATACACTTGCATTCTATTGTATCTGTGATCGTGTGTTCGTGTTCGTGCTGTCTCTACCATCGACAATAAAACATGTCTTCTGTCAGAATGAAAGACGCGATCCCAGACTATGTCATCTTCTTCAGGTGGTGGAGAATGCGGGCATTGTCTGTAACATCTAGAGAACAGAAGACTTTTTTTTTACACAAAAAGTGTTTTTTTTTTAAGCCAAAACTGAAAAACCTCAAGAGAATGCATCTGGATCAGCACTTGGACAATCTACACAGCCCCTGATTCCAGTCAGGCTGTGAGCTGCTGAGACATGGACAATACCATCGTCCTCTTTTGCATGGACACCATTTGGAACAATTGGATTACACAATTTGGACATAATTTGGAACAATTGGATATCTGAATTTGGACATAATTTGGACTGAATTGAATTGCTGAATCTGGACATTGAAGCTGAAACGTGTGATTGAAAGACACGTCACAGAAGAATTCATGGCTCGACACAAATGCAGCTTGAAGAAACCAACACGGAGAAGTGGGAGAGACTGTTTTCAAAGCAATATCTGGAACCACCATCGACTGATGAAGTTTGGTATTTTACTGAAGATTGTTGACAAGTTTTATGAAAGATCTGAACATGTTTTATGAGTTTTCTGAGTTTTTGAAGTATTCCGAGTTCTGAGTTTTTTGAAGTACCGAGTGAAGTACAGAGTTTATGAGTTTTTGAAGTATTGAGATATGATGTTATGTTGCTGTTTATCGATCCTGATGGTCACACGTGAATGTATGACCAGAGGGGGGAATGTGAGATTTCATAACACTTTGAAGCAACTTTTGTTAAAGTTAAACTCATCATTCTATCAATGTGCAGAAGCCAGTACTTTTCCCTTGTTTTGTCTATCTGAAGGCCAAGCTACAAGCACCTGCTGATTGGATGCCTCCGCTCTGTATAATACACTTGCATTCTGTTGTATCTGTGATCGTGTGTTTGTGTTCGTGCTGTCTCTACCATCGACAATAAAACATGTATTCTGTCAGAATGAAAGACGCGATCCCAGACTATGTCATCTTCTTCAATGTATTATACATTATACATGGTTTTATGAAACAGAATTCTGAGAAAAACAGGTTTATAGATCGACATTCCAAACATAATCATCACAGTCATATAACATGTAAATTTTGAATTACTCTGTTATGGCACACTTGTTTCATTCACTATGTTGTAGAAGATTAAAAAGATGTTACTTTGGCACCAATTAAACACACAACACTCATGAATTAGTCGAAAATCAAGAATGTATTGATTCTTTCAATATTCAATGGATTGAATTTTGACCTCCTCTTCTTTTTCTTTCTCTTTATAATTTACTGAAAATTAGATATGTATTAGACATTGCCAGTATTATTCTATCAAATCACGCAGTCTAAATATCCACAACCACCAAGCATTTTTAATGCAAGGAGAAACTTAGGTAACTTAAAACACAAATAAAACAAATGGACCTGTCCGACTCGAGTGTCTATGCTTCGTGTGTCTCTGGTTCTGTCCAAGTGTCTATGATCCGCGTGTCTCGCGTGTCTCCGCCTGTCTGGGTTCTGTCTGCGTATATGTAAATGTAAATGTAAATGTCTGTCTGTGGTTCTGTTCGGGTGTCTATGGTCCTGTCTGTGGTTCTGTTCGCGTGTCTATGGTCCGCGCTCGGAGCCCAGACGGCAGTGCGTTCACTGAGCTGTCAGAGCGGGGGTCACAGCAGCTGCTCCCGGGGCCAGAGCGGAGGATGTAACGTAACGTTCGGTTTATCAAAACATATCACAATATTTAACGTATAACACTAGTGAATTTCACCTAGATTTTTTCAGACATTAAAGACAAGATGTTATATAATAATTGTTTAATGAAAAAACAATTTTGCCAAAAAAATGACAATCGACCTATTTTTACTGTTTACTCGGAACGTGCCAGCATGACATCCGACGGGTTTTCCCAGATCGCATCACATATATACGTTAATGCAATTTTATTATAAAGATTAACATTAGTACAAAATATGTATATGTTGTCTGTTATGCTCTTACTTTGAAAAAGCATTCAATAGCAACACATATACATTCACATGCACGGCTTGAACACACAGCCAATTTTACACATTTCCTTTTGACAAGGAAAGAAGATAACAATCTGATAAAGTTACGTAATTGCACACAAGCAACCAAAAGATGTGCAACTAAAATTGCCTCAGACAAGAATCGAACCTGGGTTCTCCAGGTCCCAGCCTTCAATGTTAACCATTCGGCCAACATAGAATCTCTGGGCTAGACAGGTTGGCACGCAGTGTGATACCTGAGCGTCTAAGTCGCTGGCAGAGCTAAAGCGGACTTAACCTGCCACCTTGTGGCGATAAGATGTAATATTTTTCACGCAGCTGCGTGATTCCCGAAAAGCGTGAATGAAGACGACAAAACGAAATGGGACCTACTGTATGCGCTTTAGCTTTACAAAAGGACAAGGAGAAAAAATGTCTCCAGTCAAAGCTTAAGTGCTTTGTGGTTTCCGTTACACTGATGCTTGTTCAAAGTTTATTTAAATTTTTCTAATTTGTCGCTTACCACTTGAAATAACTCCAGGGAATCAATGTATTTTATCTTGCAATGATCTGATTTGATTATTGCAATGTCAGTGGGATGCCATAGGACTTTCAAACCACAACAATTGAACGATTGAATAATACTCATGTCCCTTGCTTTCAAAACTGTTTGCTTTTATTACTAGTCTTCACATGCATGTATTTTTGCATCTTATCTTTATATCAGCTTTTACAAAGAAAAAAGTGGAAAGGGGAGGATCATCATCTCTCAGCAAATCAGCTCTCACCCAAAGAGTCAAATGGTGATTCCCAGGGCTTGTTTCTGGGGAGATGTTGCTTACCTAGGGGAGATGTCGCAGCCCTGTCTCATGAAAGCCCCCAGGGAGAACCATAGGCTATTGAAGATGCCAAACTCGTTGGTGGACTCGTTGGTCTGGATCTGGCCGTCCTCGTACTCCTCGGTGTGCCACTCGTACGGACTGAAACGGCTGACCAGGAAGAGGACTACGCTGACCCCGATGTATGCAAACACAATGCACATCCAGATCTCATAGGCCAGAGGGTCCAGGAAGGAGAATACGCCCGGCTTGGACTTCTGTGGTTTTTTGATCATGATGGAGATGCCCAGAGACATGAAGGGCTTGGAGAAGTCTATGACCTCCTCACGCACCAGAGTGATTGTTAGAGGAGCCACGGCGATGTCCGCTTTCTGAAGGACAAGGTCAACGTTAGTGCTTTAGAAGGGGCCTATTCTAACATCCTCATTAAAAAAAATACTTGAACCATACAGTCTGTACACAGTATTTGCAAAATCATTATTCAGCTGTTTCTTCGGTGTCAATCTTTTTAATCCAATCCAAATGTATTAGAAAAGAGCTTTTTGTTTACTGTGATTTTCTAATATATTGGCATCAAGTAGTTTCAATTTTATTGTTATTTCAATATTTCTCTGCAGCAATATATTGTCTATTTTATCATGAGTCTAATAGTGACAAACCACAAAGGCTGTAATAGTGAGTGTGCCTTGTCATCCTGAACTTTCTGGTTTTCTCTAAATCCACACTTTAGTGCAACAAACCCCATAGATCCATGTGACCAACACTGTGATTGGTAGACATCAAACTCCAGGCAGTAGAATGGGGCAGAACCCTCACCCTAGCGAGGTAGGGCCAGTGTTGGGGAAGTTACTTTTAAAAAGTAACTTATTACGTTACTCGATACATTTGTGTTACTGTTACCATCCACTACAGTCTATGCTATCTACTAAAAGCTGTTGAAACCAAACGTCGAAACCACAGACATTCATGTCACTGGCATGGTCTGGTGTGAACGTCCCTTAAAGATCTGAAACGATGCAAGGCTGGGAAACCTATTGAGCCAATAAAACATTTGATACGCAAAGCGAAGCAGTGGCTGCAGAGTCTGAGACACTGATACGTTTATCACGGCTGTTTTGATACATGCTCCAACGCAGTGTTTCGAAGCAGTTTGTGTTGGGAAGAGCAACACACGCTCCGCATTCTCGGTGTTGTTTGCCCATCACTAAAAAGTAATGTTGCGGCAGATAGAAAAACAAACGGCTTTACGTTACTAAATTGTCAATAGTTAACGCGTTACACTTTACTTTTCCACGGAAAAAGTAGTTTTGTTAGTGTAACGCGTTACACCCAACACTAGGTAGGGCTAATGGAAAATACCCCCTCTCATTGTGATTTTTAAGGGGATTTTCTTAAAGGATTAAATTTAAATGTAAACATATGTATCGACAATACAGCCAATAGATATGTAAGTGCTTTAAAGAAAATAAATAAAGTCAACCAATAACATAATCTTCAGCAAAGGAGGGGCTTAGCTAGGGCTGGGCGATAAAACGATAACGATATATATCGCGATAGACATGTGTTCGATATCGATAGAGAATGGGGTCGATAGAATGTTCGATAGTTTAACTTAACTCAGTCAGGAAAAACAGGAAGAAAACACTGGAAGTAAAGCCGACTCATAAGCGCGCGGCATTGTGGGGGATGTAGGCAGAGGCTTCTCGACCAATAACAGCCGAGCAGGAACCGCAAAACTTTATGGGAAATGCAAGAACACCAACAACCTCACCATGCGTAGCGTCCATGGATCTATAGCTCGTGTTTCAATGCCGTGTCAATGGTTATGCACGTACGTGCGCGGAATAACATGTGCGGCGGCAGAGGCAGTGGACAGACCCGATGTATTCGGCGAAAGCAAGAGATTAACTTTTTCCTCGGGAAGCATGTGCGGCACAGAGAGCCGCACGGAGCGGTCACGGGGACACAAGACCCTCGAAAACAGCTAAACCAGGAGCTAAACCAGGAATAAAAAACCAGGATTAAACCAGGACTAACAACGAGGGACACAGTGTGAACATATTCCTCCAGCCTCATTCCCCCGTGACTGTAAACAAGGCTGCTAAGGTTGGTTAGCCCACACAACAAATGTATTTATTTAGGTAAAAAAAAAAAAAAAAAACTCAATATATATCGTTATCGACCGATATGAATGACTTATATCGTGATATAGTTTTCAGCCATATCGCCCAGCCCTAGGCTTAGCCCACCTAAACCATTGATACCAGCCGTCCCTGGTAGAAGTACTATCTTGTACAGATCAAAGACCCCGTGCATGCGTGATTCTCCAAAGAGTTCACATCCCCTCTCTCTCTTGTGTCATTCACTGATTACAATCTTACATTAGCCTCAAGTCAGCCGTTCCAATTGCTTTTCTGTCGAGTGGACTTAGATCTGATGATGAACATTGGGTTATAGTCTCTCAGATTCAGTCCCACAGACAAACTAAGACACCACTGATCTTTGCCTACATGTTGGAAATACTAATGACACTATAATAACATGTAATTTCCTTCTGTCATGTCATAAACTTCCAAGGGAATACCTGGGCTCTCCTTTGATGACTCTCCTATCAATACACGGTTACTTTGACTTTAAATATACCATCTGAGAAATTTTCATCATTTGAAAATGAGAAACTCACTATTAAAACCTCAAAAATTCATTCATGTTTTGAGAAAAAGAAAGTTCAAGTAATGAATCTATTTTAGTTTGACATAGTGGGCTTATATAGTTCTCAAGGGGAGAAGAACCTACTGAGTACTTGTATGTAAGCCTATCAAACCACATTTTGACATTCTTTCTGTTTGGGTAAATTTTTGCCCATTATTATAATATGTCATATTTAAACTAAAGCAAATTGAACAAAAAAAATAGAAAGAAACTGGGTCATTCCCCAGGGACTCACTCCGTAGACCAGCTCCCCAACCATGCCGTTCCAGATCTTTGTCTCTGCGTCCCGGGCTCCGTACTTCCCGTCGGACACAATCTTTAGCTGGTATTTGAAGCCACAGTGTTTGGCGATCTCCGCGGCCAGATCCACGCAATAACCTTCGTAGCGCTCGTTGTCCATGAACAAGTCGGCGTTCTTCTTCAGCATCACGTAAGGAGCTTCCTAAAGGACACAGAGCAAAGGTGAAAGGCACTTCAGGGGAAATGACTGGAAAAATTATTTCCCATCGCAGCAAACGCAGTGCGGGGCCGATCACAGTCTCAGAGGGCCACTGGTGTATTTATGGATTTGATGAATATAAGTAAAGATAAACTTCCTTTATGTCCATTGTGTGTCTATTTGTAACAATTGAATAGCAGATGTTCAAGGAAAAACTTGCAGGACTTTGCTCCACTGTTTTTGATTCGAGTTAGCAAATATGGATTTTCATGTCATTTCTGGAGCAACATTTTCAGGTACACACCGGGGTATGCTTATTCGGACCATTATTTCTGATCTAGTCCAAAGTGAGATGATGAATGCTTTGTTAGCATTTTTCAAAATATTAGGATTCCTCTAGTAGATTGTTTCGGACCATGAAATCTCTCCGCTCCGGTCTGGACCAGTGCAAAACAATTAAAAACTGTAGCAACATCTCAGGTAGAAAAAAGTAAGAAAATAACATTTGCAAAGCGCATAAAAACAACTGTCTCAGAGCTATTTGCCGTTTCCAGTGCATTAAAATGTAAAAAGTAATGGATTATTCAAACATCCTGATTTCCCATTGACATGAATAAGCAGACCCGGTGTTTGCCTGAAAATGTTGCTCCAGAAATTACATAAAAATTAACTATTAGCTAACCTGATACTGTGGAAACCATGGGTCACACAATCCATTTTATGTTCTTATCCTTCACAACTTATGACTTGACATGGCAAAATAAAACAGTGCATTTGCAAGATTTATGGCTATTGATTTAAATTGTAAAGATTCTCCAATGGTGTCTTTTGCGGGTTTTAGGATTCTCTAATATTTTCTAGAGCTGTCAAAATTATCGCGTTAACGCATGTTAATTAATTTTTTTCATTAATCGCGTTAAAAAAATTAACGCACGTGTGTAAGATGAGGACAGAGCAGGTAGGCCCTCTGGGAATTCAAGTTTTGAAAGAATACACGCGTGATCGCGGGGCACTTGTAGTTTCCTGTATGAACTCTGCATGATGAGCTGTGGGCGCGACAGCGCTCTGGACAGGTCCCACTTCCAGCGGCTGTGATCACGGTGAACGGCGCTGCGTAATGGGATCATATCCAAGACCACGCACAGAACTATTACATAACTATTCTCTAGTGTGCGTACGTGTCTTTGCGTAACCGATGCACACAATATGTACAGCGGTGAAGCTGGACTGTGGAGCCTCAGTCTCCTCCGTGTCTTCTCCCGAAGCGCACTCGCTAAATTAAAGCTGAGGTACCTAATTTTCCTTTCGACCATCAGTTCATGTTAGTTGTGCTAAAAAAAGTAATGGTGTGAGCAAATCAAACAGATTTAATGACATTCTGCATTTCAGACTATTTTCAGACTATTTTGAAATGTCCCTCATCTGTAACAAACAATGGTTCTGGTCTGAGTCTAAACAGAAAGACAGAATGTTAATAATGTTAATTCCATTTTATATGGATTTATTGTTATAACAAACAAATACAGTACATATGTTCACTAAACTGTCATTTCTCTTTCCATTCAAACAACAATTTACAGAAAAATATGGCATAATTTTGCCAATAGTTTGAAATGTGATTAATTAAGATTAATTAATTTTTAAGCTGTAATTAACTCGATTAAAAAAATTAATCGTTTGACAGCCCTAATATTTTCTAGTTATCTCTATGTAGAAATGTCCTCTATTTCCATGGAAAAACTGACATTCCATCTTCAGAAAGCGTTACACAGCAGCTTTAAAAATAATAAAAATAATAATAATAATTCAAAAAAAGACAAACCATTTGGTTAGACCTTCAAAGCCAAAATCAATGTCAGTTTCAAATTTAATTAATTAATTAATTGGTGGTTCCTGGTAGAAGATTGATTGTTATGTATAGGAAAGTGGAGCTGACTTTTCCATTCTCTGTCTGTTTACATTTTGATTGCGTCCCCTTTAAATATACGTTCTTTTCTGCACTTCTGTTGCCGTTAGGTTTGTCTGGTGTCTGATCTGGGCATGTCCCAGCGGGAGGAGGCTTCTGTTCAGACTGCAGCCCTCACAACCTGATATGAATATTCTGAATATATGATTCTTGTTTCTTTCCTCTGATCTAAAAACGTCACGTTCAAAAGAATGGATGTGATGTAATAAAGCAAAAACACCACACTTTGAAATTATCTCAAAATAGTATTGTTACTGTTTTTAGACAGGACCTGAATCACAAACAACGGCATAAACATAGTGGAAACAGCCGAGGGTCCTTACCAGAATGGTCGTCACTATCACCGTCTTGTTCTCCATTCCTAATGTGCTGTTCTCAAAGACGTCCGACTTGGTCACCGCCATCTTGTCCATCTCATTCCAGTATCCAATCTGTTGGAGGCATGAACAAACTCAGAGCATGCGCCACGTTAAAACAGATTGTTACAACACTTTACATTTCTTCACTAATAATGAATACCCGAGCGCACAAATACATCAGCTATATGTTAATATATGCAATCAGACAGCAGGGGTGGGGAACATACAGCAATGAAAATGTCCATACAACAGGTCTAATTTCACTGATACATAATTGAGACATATTTCAGATTTACTCAAGCTAAAACCTCTAAATACTAGGGACGGGCCTTTAACGGGTGAATTAAGATGACTTAATTACACAAAGAATTGACGCATTTTCATCGTATTTATAAATACACCGCAGAAACGTTTCTCACTGTATGAGTTTTAGGCCATGTCCACACGTAGCCGGGTATTTTTAAACCCGAATATTTCCCCCCCCCAGTTTAAAAAATAATTTGCATCCACACACATAACCGAACATCTGCGTTTTCAATCGCATTCATAACATTATAAACCTCCGTCCTCTGACGTCCTGTCCTGCGTTGGGGGAAAAACACAGAAGTGGGCAGAGCTTTGATGCTGACGCTGGTTCTTCTGTAGCGGCACTTTTACAGTCATAGTAGAAACTAAGGCTAAAGACATATGTTCACAAGCACTGTGTCCCCCGTCCTCAGCCCTGATTTAAAGGTCCTATATTACGCTTTTCTTCATGTTTCACTGTCAATCCTATACACATGTGTGATAATAATGTGGGTGATACACTACACAGCACTCAAAACTTGTGAGATTAGAGCCATCTCTTGTCTAGAGGTGACGTCACCTCAACTCAAACGAGCTGATCCAGAGAAGAGTCTGCTCCTCTGCCTCGGTGAGCCCGCCTCCCCCCATCCGCACGGTGACGTAGCATCACGCTCTGAGTTGTTTATCACCGGTACACTTATTTCTGTATATAATGTAAATACTGGTTTTTGTCTTTGTCATTTTCACAGCCCTTAGTCGACCGTGGGCTGTGAGCTTCCTGTTCTGGAGGTTCTTTATAAATCCAGACTTTTAAACAAAGCTCTTAGGATTGTCAATGACTCTTCTGGCCACCCTGGGAAAGCCATGTTCCAGCTTCTTCCCTCTGGCAGAAGATATCGCTCTCTGAGATGCAGGACATCTCGTTACGCTAACAGTTTTTATCCACAAGCTGTTATCAGTGTGAACAGAGCACTGTAATGATTTGCACTTGTTTTGAAACTGTTTTAGTCGATCGATTTTACAGTGACATTTGTTTACTGTTTTTTATTTGTTTTATTTTTGTCTTTTAATGTTGTTTTATGTCTGTATTTGTCTGTGCACACTGGTGACTTTTGCTAATGTATGTGGTGTTTTTACTGCAAATGGCAAATAAAAAAAAATAAAATGAATCTGAATCTGAATCTTTATGTATCGATGTATATGTATATTTGTCTTTTTTGTAAATAAAAAAATAAATAAAAATAAACAAAACACCGGTACATAGTCATTTCAGACATAAGAATAAACTTTTTCCAACAATGACAATCCGTCACATCGATCCCTATGTCCTCAATGCACAATTAGACCCTAATTATTTAGTTTACAGAAGTATACGGCGAGTTGGCATCACTGTACTTACAGATCGGGGGTCCGTGTTAGCATCACGTTACTTAGAGATCGGGGGTCCGTGTTATGTCTTTTATTGTGGGAATAACACATGTTTCCAGATCAGCTTTTGAGTAAGTCCAGTTCCATTGTCCCTGTAGTTCTTGAACAGTCTCAGTGAAGTGTCGCAGATGAACCCATTATTATAATAGATCCATGCGATGAACATATGAAAAAAGTCGAGCCGCTTTCTTCCTCTTCAGGCCAAATAGTGCGTCTATATTTACACCCAAAACACATGTTATCCAAGTTGACGTGATCCTAACACTTACAGTGCCTTGCGAAAGTATTCGGCCCCCTTGAACCTTTCAACATTTTGCCACATTTCAGGCTTCAAACATAAAGATATAAAATTTTAATTTTTTGTCATGAATCAACAACAAGTGGGACACAATCGTGAAGTGGAACGAAATTTATTGGATAATTTAAACTTTTTTAACAAATAAAAAACTGAAAAGTGGGGCGTGCAATATTTTTCGGCCCCTTTACTTTCAGTGCAGCAAACTCACTCCAGAAGTTCAGTGAGGATCTTTGAATGATCCAATGTTGTCCTAAATGATTGATGATGATAAATAGAATGCACCTGTGTGTAACCAAGTCTCCGTATAAATGCACCTGCTCTTTGATAGTCTCAGGGTTCTGTTTAAAGCGCAGAGAGAACCATGAAGACAAAGGAACACACCAGCCAGGTCCGAGATACCGTTGTGGAGAAGTTTAAAGCCGGATTTGGATACAAAAAGATTTCCCAAGCTTTAAACATCTCAAGGAGCTCTGTGCAAGCATCCATCCATCCATCCATTTTCTTCCCCTTAATCCATTTCTGGGTAGTTATCTGCAGTTCATCCAGAGTGATCAAGGGCCTCTTGTCTGCATCTCTGATCAGTCTTCTCCTTGTTTGAGATGAAATTTTGGAGGGACGGCCGGGTTTTGGTAGATTTGCAGTGGTCTGATACTCCTTCCATTTCAATATAATTGCTTGCACAGTGCTCCTTGAGATGTTTAAAGCTTGGGAAATCTTTTTGTATCCAAATCCGGCTTTAAACTTCTCCACAACAGTATCTCGGACCTGCCTGGTGTGTTCCTTTGTCTTCATGGTTCTCTCTGCGCTTTAAACAGAACCCTGAGACTATCAAAGAGCAGGTGCATTTATACGGAGACTTGATTACACACAGGTGCATTCTATTTATCATCATCAGTCATTTAGGACAACATTGATCATTCAAAGATCCTCACTGAACTTCTGGAGTGAGTTTGCTGCACTGAAAATAAAGGGGCCGAATAATATTGCACGCCCCACTTCAGTTTTTTATTTGTTAAAAAAGTTTAAATTATCCAACAAATTTCATTCCACTTCACGATTGTGTCCCACTTGTTGTTGATTCACGACAAAAAATTAATTTTATATCTTTATGTTTGAAGCCTGAAATGTGGCGAAATGTTGAAAGGTTCAAGGGGGCCAAATACTTTCGCAAGGCACTGTATCTGCAGTTCATCCAGAGTGATCATGGGCCTCTTGGCTGCATCTCTGATAAGTCTTCTCCTTGTTTGAGATTAAAGTTTGGAGGGACGGCCGGGTCTTGGTAGATTTGCAGTGGTCTGATACTCCTATCATTTCAATATAATTGCTTGCACAGCATTGGCCTTTGAGCCTGAAGGTCGTGGGTTCGAGCCCACCTCAAGACCTACTTCACGACTCCCACTGATGACTGCTGTTGTTGTGTCCTTGGGCAAGACACTTAACCCCTCTGCCTGAAGCCCCCACTGAAAGATCTCAGCTCCTGTGGACTCACCACCTGCAGGAGGATCAGTGAGAGGCTGGTGCTCTGTGACTGGGTGCAGCTCTGACTGCCACCCCCCCGACCCAGAAATGGATTAAGGGGAAGAAAATGGATGGATGGATGGATGCTTGCACAGAGCTCCTTGAGATGTTTAAAGCTTGGGAAATCTTTTTGTATCCAAATCCGGCTTTAAACTTCTCCACAACAGTATCTCGGACCTGGCTGGTGTGTTCCTTTGTCTTCATGGTTTTCTCTGCGCTTTAAACAGAACCCTGAGACTATCAAAGAGCAGGTGCATTTATACGGAGACTTGATTACACACAGGTGCATTCTATTTATCATCATCAGTCATTTAGGACAACATTGGATCATTCAAAGATCCTCACTGAACTTCTGGAGTGAGTTTGCTGCACTGAAAGTAAAGGGGCCGAAAAATATTGCACGCCCCACTTTTCAGTTTTTTATTTGTTAAAAAAGTTTAAATTATCCAATAAATTTCGTTCCACTTCACGATTGTGTCCCACTTGTTGTTGATTCATGACAAAAAATTAAAATTTTATATCTTTATGTTTGAAGCCTGAAATGTGGCAAAATGTTGAAAGGTTCAAGGGGGCCGAATACTTTCGCAAGGCACTGTAACTACAGCTGAGGTGGGAGAGTCTGTCCATAGGACAACAATCAGTCGTGCACTGCACAAATCTGGCCTTTATGGAAGAGTGGCAAGAAGAAAGCCATTTCTCAAAGATATCCATAACAAGTCTCGTTTAAAGTTTGCCACAAGCCACCTGGGAGACACACCAAACATGTGGAAGAAGGTGCTCTGGTCAGATGAAACCAAAATTGAACTTTTTGGCCACAATGCAAAACGATATGTTTGGCGTAACAGCAACACAGCTCATCACCCTGAACACACCATCCCCACTGTCAAACATGGTGGTGGCAGCATCATGGTTTGGGCCTGCTTTTCTTCAGCAGGGACAGGGAAGATGGCTAAAAATGATGGGAAGATGGATGGAGCCAAATACAGGACCATTCTGGAAGAAAACCTGTTGGAGTCTGCAAAAGACCTGAGACTGGGACGGAGATTTATCTTCCAACAGGACAATGATCCAAAATATAAAGCCAACTCTACAATGGAATGGTTCACAAATAGATGTATCCAGGTGTTAGAATGGCCAAGTCAAAGTCCAGACCTGAATCCAATTGAGAATCTGTGGAAAGAGCTGAAGACTGCTGTTCACAAATAAACTGGCAATAGCCAGATTGATGAGTGTGTAGAACTCTAATGCGTTCTCCACAATATCAATCTGGGACTTCTGCAGGAGAATCCTTTCGGGGAAAGGAGGGATAAGCAGCAGAATACTTCAAGCTGATTGGGCGAAGTGACGCTGTGTGCCCGCCTACCAAGGTTTGACTTAACCCTCTATGCACATAGGTCATTTTGGGGAACTTTCCTCGCTTGGTTTTCTTTGTGTATAATTGTTCATAAAACAGTCATCTTTTGATGCAGAGTCAAGCAGTATACTATGTTTTTTTCAGTACAACCTGGGGTTTTAGAATATTCATATTGTAAAGCTGTCAAAT